CAATAGGACCGTAGGTCCCCTAGTAGGCGATGGACATATGGGGAGGAATGAACTCCGCAATCTCCTCCGACTCCTGCACAAAACGTGATCTAGCGGTTAAACACTACTAGGGGCTACACAAAGGATTGAATAGACAGAAATAGAAGGATGAACCTCCTCCTCACGGTAAAGCAGTGGAGCTAGCTGAGGAAGCAACACCTCTTCATACAAACGATCGGGATGGCTATAGATCCACCAGTTCTCCCCTATCGCTCCCCTCTCAGCATGAACCCGGAGCCTATCCTGACTCATCATCTGCGCTGGATGACCGGCAGGGACAATGTGAACATCTGAGGAGTGCTAGAGGGCCACTCTCTCGCCCAGGTATATACCACACAGCTTCGTAGGTACCCCAGAAAAAGCGCCTCTCAATGGTGTACTGAGAAGCAAGCCCGAAATCGCCCAATCCAGCCCATTGACGATAGTGGACCTTAGGGTGCTATAACAAAGAAAAGAGATAAGTCTAGAATTCATGGGAAATCCAAATAAACGCACGATAAAGGAGTAACCTTTACCTCAAGAATCGCAACCCTGAAAGAAGCAGTGGTCGCCAAGCCAAGATAGCGACCACCCCAATTGTCAGCAATTGGGAGCCCTCTAACCTGAGGCCTCGCCGGCGCCAAAGAAGGGAAGTACTTGTAGAACCAGACCTGTGATAAAGGAAAAAACCTAAGGCTCGATAAAAGATCGAAAAAGAAACTAATCTCACCAAAAGAGAGTAACATATGTACCTCTACAATCTTCTAGAAACTGAAGAGTGTGATCTCTGCCTATCACTTCCGCTGACGACAGGCTAGCCGCAGCCCCAGGAGGAAGTCAGCGTAGGCCAGACTAGCCCAGTCATAAGTCCCGATCAGCTGGAGATCGCGGACAGCAGAGAGATAGTACAACAACACACGACTTCCCTGTTAGGAGAAAAGGTCCTTGACAGGAGAATAAGAACAAAGATGCGCACCCGCTGCTCCGGGGTGGTCGCATCGTCACGAAAAGCCTCCACAAGTAGTGACCTGCGGGCAGACTTCATACTGTTGTTCAACGCCAGAGCCTCAGCACGGGCTCGATAAACAACAAGGCCCAACAACTCTGCAGCCTCGGGAGAGGCTAAGGTATGGATCCTATTAGCTGGGAGTGCAATGGACCGGAACTCTAGTCCCACTCAGGAAGCCATCCACCTCATCTAGTAGAAGCACCGTCTTAATCGCCTGCGGGCTCGTCCTCTCGGTGAGACGAGCAAGAACATGAGCCGAAACCTCGACGTCGAGCCTTACTATTTATTGTTGACATAGGAAAACAATAAATTAAAGGTTCTATAGTGTCTATGTTTGCCTAGCCGCATGATACTATGTTCGTCAAAAACAGAGTACGAAGTATAAAAACATAGCATGACTTTGATTCACACAATAACAAGATTTTTGAGCACCAAAACAATTCTTGCAAGTCTATGACAAATATTGCAACAAATTAAGCATGAATAGCAAGCAAAATCATGAAGAACAAGCCACATTGTACTCACGAACCTAGAGTGTTCAACAATGGTGAATTGCTCGTTTCTTCACCAAATCAAGCAATTCAAGTCTCAAAATACTCTCAAAGCAACATGCAAACATATACAAGAAATTTCATGGCAAGAAATTCAACAAAACAAGACGAATTAGCATGAATAAGTTCAGAATTTCCGAAAAACCGCGAGAAAACATGCACAAAATTCATCCAAATTGGAAGACTATACTAAAATTTTCCCTCTTTTTGTGTGAATTAAGGCATGCATTTTCCTGCATAGTTCTTATTAATTAATGTTATTATTACCTGCATATTTGTGCCAAACTACCTAGAATTGACTTTTGGCAGATATACACCTCCTCTCCCTTACTACTGGCTCTCAATGAAAATTTGCCTGAGACTATTGTTGACAAGAGCATACATTATTATTTGTTTTTTGTTTTTTTTTTTTGGCAGAAAAAGGGGCATTTAATTAATTAAACCAAGAGGCACATACAAAGTTAAGCTTACATAATTGAGTTAGAAAGAGTTAAACTATTCAATCCATCAGCTTAATCTGTGGATCATTACAAGAACTTAAGTCAAATACGAAAGCCTCATTAGCCCACACAGGGGGAGAACAAAAGAAGCGCCAAACATTTAGCTCAGTGTCATCATGTGCCACCTTCTTTGACATACAATCAGCCACCCTGTTAGTGTTCCTAGCCTCCAACTAAATTTGACACCCTGAAAAGTGTGTTTTTGGTGCCCTGCAATCATGTATCAAACACATAAGCTCACCACACATCAATCCAACATCATTGATCAATCTCACAACTGAGGCAAGAAATATGTGTCTCCAGTCCTCATCCTTAGCTAATTGCAACCCTTCTCGGATAGCTAGAATTTCTGCCTGTAAATTGAATGTGCATAGCTCTTTTTTATGCAGCCAGTCAACCATAGTCCAGCACTGTTCCTAGCTACACCTGCCAAGCCACACACTTTGCTTTCTTTCCAAACCGCATCAGTGTTAATTTTAACACAATGTGAAGGGGGAGGGGCCCATATGGCTGGTGTAAACATATAAGTATGATCCTTGTCAGGGACAAAAGTCAAAGGATGGTAGGCGTAGACACCTGATTGTGTCTCCCCAAAACCAAACCCAGTGATTAGTATCTTTCACATCTTTGATTATCGAGTTAGGCGAAGAGTTTAGGAGTCTCGTGAAGTTCCCTTTAGCTTTGACCATTTCTAACCTTTCTTTAAATGTTTTTAGCCAAAATCATTCATTTTGTGTCTTTTTTATAACGTCCAAACCAGTTTATTTTGGTCCATAGTCTGGATCCAATAGTTTTGTAGTTGGATGAGGCTTGAGAAGAGCTTTCCAACGATATATTATAAGCTCAAATTCGAGTTATAACGAAAAAGTTATGGCCAAAATATTGAACTGGGTTCAAATCGAGCCTTATCTGCGAACTCAATGATCATGTGGAGGGTCCATTTATTTTAACTCTATTTCTAAAACCATTAGAATTTATCATAAGTTTCTAGAATTATCTAGAAGGTTGTTTTGACTACAGACACCAAAAAAAAGAGATCGATAAAGTCAATATATTGACTACAGATCAGCAGGTTTTGTTAATAACTTTGTATTGTTATCAAATATCTATTACACATCTGATATAAGAACTTACATATAATTTAATGTGGCTTCTTTTGGAGGAGACTCAGAGAGCTAACAAAATGGCTTGCATTTTCTAGAAGATTTTTTAGCTAGAATAGGAGTTGGATGATGAGAAGTTGTAGTTACAGAACAAGAAGTTACGGATGTTCTGGGAAGTGATGATGATGCCACAATTAAGAAGTTGAAGATGATGACTAAAGAAATAAATGAAAAGATTGGAAACATGAACCATTTGGAATCTTTAATTCAAACTCAAGTTATTTTGATCAATGGCCTGTTAGAGTTGTTTCTAGCTTCTTCACAATTTGGGCTTGAAAATAAATTATCGTTTTTTTAAAAAATTAATTAATACAAATGTAATCCAATTATTGGCTTTGTAAAGCTGATTAGGTAATGAATTTCTTGTTTATTTGAATTGTTTGAAATTGAATTTTGTAGATAACCAAGTTCTTAATCATTTCTTTTATATAATCTCTCATATTAAAATACAACATAATTATGGCCAAAGCTTCAGTTTTTAAAGGTTTAATGTGTATAATTTGATTAGGTTTTAGTTTAGTATTTATGGTAAGCTGTATTTTAAGCAATTGAGACATGATATTCTAAGGTACAGCAAAGATTTTTCAAAGACAATGAGTTACACTTGCTTCAAGTTGATTCAAAGAAGGTATTATTCTTGTTTTCAAATATCTTTATTGCTACATAGTTGTGTACATTATTACTCCACAAGTCCCTATTATCATTCATAAGCTATCAAATTATGTGCATATTTCATATGCCATATGATACGTTTAGGCTAAATGGTATAGAATTAAAATGCTGCAATTTCAATACTTTACCACCCTTTATATGGTTTTTATTGTTAGGTTCCCAGTTTTTCAGGTTTTAAAGTAGCTTTGAATAAGAGGAGGTGGGGGGATGAGAGATCAAGGGAGAATGAGATATTAACGAATGTAACAAGGAAGAAAAGGGAGATATATAGACAGAGTGGGAAAGTAGGAAGGGGGATAGGAGAGAGTGTAATTAGGAAAAAATTGGAAAAGACAGGGAGGGAAAAAAATTAGAGGCAAGTAATGGAGTGATGCGGAGAACTTTTTAGGTTTTTTTCTAAAATAAAAATTTACAAAAGTGATTTTTTATAACACTTGTAAACTTTGAAAAGATATGAGAAAGAGAGTGAGAGAAGGAATAAGAAATATGGAGGAATACATTATAGATGTGTGTTGTATGACAAATTATGTATGTCTATTTTCTTTACGTGCGTCTCAAAATATGAATTAGAGTAAGAACAATTAACCGACATCATTATTCACTCTGAATTCTCCATTGATGCGGCTTCTGAGCAGTCCCCTCAGTTCAATGATGTAAGATCTTTCTTCTTCTTCTATGCTGTCTCTTCCGATTCCTGTGCATACTTTGAATTCTCCACTGTTTAGATTGCTCTCTCTTTCTCTTTTTTCTAATCATCATATTTCAGTATTGGGACTTGGAGGTTTTATCGAGCAGCTTTGGCGTGATACCATTGTCTATATTAATGATGATGATCCTTTATACATTGGTCAATCCTATGGAAGAATCAGCCAACATTCACTTCACAAGAAGTTGGCGCACAGGTAAAATACTAAAATGTGCATTTGGCATTTCTATTTGCTTGTTGGTCTTGAGATTTTGCTGCCTGATTTTATTTGCCAGCTTTATGTAGTTATGTAATATTTAATTTAGATCATATTCCTTCTTTAAATCGTGATGCAATTGGTAACCTTGAGTTATGTAATAAAGCAGCTATCACATAAAAGGCTTGTGGTGAAATTGGTGACCTTGAGTTAATTAAAAAGGGCGTTGTAAATAAATAGTTACATTGACAGGTTTTTCACGAGTACATAAAGTGGGTGGTTCCAGGTCTCCCAGGGTGTTGTGGGATCCATGGTCAGGGTGTTGTGGATCCATGGTAAGCACTTCGACCTTTCCGAGTCCTGAAATGTCAAAAGATGTCCAAAATGAAAATTATAATCCAAGAATTCTAGCACCCAACAAAAAAGTTTTAGAGTTAGATTTTCACAGGTTTAAAATCGTTTTTATGTTACTGTCAACTGGAAGTGCACATTTTTTTGGAGCATATACAGCCTGTTTTGTAAATGTCAATAAATTGTACTAATGAAAATGGATTTTTAAGGATAATATATATATATATATATACTACCTCCGCTTTTAGTTATCTGCAACGATGGGACATTTTTCCTCTCTACTTTATATCCCATCGTTGCAGATAACTAAAAGCGGAGGTAGTATATATATATATGTCCCATCGTTTTTATGAGGCAGTTATCTGTGCTTCTTGAGCCTTTTCATATTGGTTGAAAACTTTTAGTGTCTTTTTTTCTACAGAATTGTAAGATCTTTGGAGATTGTGGGTACTTCCCCCCATATTTAAAAGCGTAAGGGGATATAAAATGCATGAAGCCTGTTGTGCCATCCTTACTTTCTTTACATCTTTTTATTGTAAGAGACCATGTCCTTCAGAAAATGATCCATGGAGTCACGTTTATTCCTCATACTTGTTTCTTGTTCTCTATGAATATTCTGTATCCTATTACTACTTGTTGGATGGAAATAGGGTTTCATGCCTCCCTAAGCTAATAAGTGATTAATCATCCATATTGCATATATTTTTGTAGCCCAAGTTTTTTGAGCAAATTATCCAAGATAGCACTTCTGCACATATTTGAGTTGGTGGTTTCTTGTATCAACTTCTTACTCCTGCTTTATACTGCAGAATTTATTGTTTGCTACTTGGCCTCACTGTGAATTGTATGATAAATGGCTTGATTTCTAGAACAACTTTTTTGGTTTGAGTTATTTTTTTGCTCCCCTGGATGGATTTGTCATTGATCTGATGGGTTTTATTCCTTTTTATGAATGTCATATATGTTATGGTCTGCTCCTAAAAATTTATAATGTATTTTGTGTGTTCTGAGGTGTTGATGCCTTTCATATGCTTGTCATTGCATAATTTGTAGCAAATATCGTGTCATCAGCTAAAATATTAGAATTTATATAGTTGGCATTGAATATAAATCTTGCTTGTCACATAATTGCACACACCAATGGCAACAGCTTGAATCTTCTTCCTAATTGTAAAAAAATATTTTATTTTGGGATATTCCTTTGGTATATATTTACCTAATATGTGGTTCTACTATAATGTCCTATATATTCACGAAAGATGCGTCTCTTTAGCAAGTTGTGTTTACAGTTGTTGCTCATTAACTAAAGATCTTTGTTAGTATGGAATCAGTCATTTTACAAATACAGAATGCAAATGAGAAGATTTGAGGAAGAAAGATTGTATCTTTGATTATCAAGTAAAAGGTTCCTTAAAAACGGTGGATTTAGCCCACTACTCTCCAAGGGTAACTTTAGGTTACCAGCTCCAGAATAGTTCACTCACAAATAGCATACCTCATCAAGTACTCTCTTTCTTTTTTTATATGTACAGTGCAATTTCCTAAGGAGATTCTACTGGCTGCTGATTTTGTCTTTTGTTATGTTGTCTTTTTCCTCACATGTGGCCACTTGGTTCATGATCATTAGCTCACTTGTATTTAGCTGCTCTACTGTATTTGTATTTGGCTACCCTACTGCAGTATCAGGTCCTTTGGTGTTCACCTTAGTGCGCCCTTTCCTCTTGGAGTAGGTAAAGATCACTGGAGGGGCCTCATGGTCTATTACATTTATCTGTTGATACAAAGCTTATTGAGCAGCTATGTAGCAAACTAGCAATTCATGCGTTGCAGCCTGAAGTGCACATGAAACTCTTTATGGGATGGGGTGGTTCCATACATTAGTTTACTAATTACTTACCCGCAATTACTAATTATTGTTTTTTAAATTCTGATTTGTAATCAGATGCTGTCTGGGACTTGGTTGTCCTTGATTTTGTATATATTGTAAAGAAAAGCAAAAATTATTTATTTTAGGTCTATAACTTAGATTTTGGCAATCTAAATTGATACTGTACACTATTGCGTACCTATTTATAGGGTTTAGATTTTGAAAGTTGGTTTCTATTACAAAGTCTATAATTGTCTAAATTTTTATTATTCTTCATATTGTTTATAATTGTCTATTTTCTATTACCGATAGAGAGAGGAGTAGATTTGTATGAGAATAATAAAAATTAGAGAATATTGTATGAAAAAAGAGAAAAAATTAAGTAATGATTTTTTTTGGGTATATGTGTATTTCGTATAAGAAAGATAAAAAGTAAGTAACGATATGTGATTTTTTTTTAAACAAACACAACATTTTAAGACACCTAAAAAGTAATACAGACACAAAATTATGGCACGGATAGAGTATAAAATATAAACATTGTTCTCGAATCAATAAAGCCATAATGATCTAAATGCATATTTTAGCGACAACAATCATTTATAGCTTAACATTTATGCAAGAAGCCTAGGGCCATCTATATAAATAATAAATACATACATATTTTTTATCATCAAATTCTTTGTATTTCTTATTAAATAAACCAGTTATTTCATGAGAAATTAAACTAGAACGGATACTTAAGGGGAAAACGTCCATAAATATATGATGAACATACAAACAACTATAAAACAATGGCCAAAAGATAATACCGATAACTTGAATGATTACAAGTCTACAATAAAATTGTATCCAATATATGCATATATAGTCGTTTGACGATCTTAAGATTACATGCCTAAAACACTAATAGTGAGCTTAGCACTCAACATATACAAATTCAAGGCAATTATTCAAAATCACTATATCCAATTGACCACTTCTAATATCAATTTCAAAAAAATCAGAAATGCAATTATCCAAACTAATCAATTCCAAAAAAAAAAAAAAAAAAACTCTAAGTTCTAAACCCCCCTAATTTCATAGATTAAATATGAAATCATCAATTTTACTAGCCCATTGTCAATTTATAATATCAATTTCAAAGGAAAAAAAAAATCAGCAATCCAATATTTTCAATTCCTAAAAAAATCAGAAACCCTAACTCCCTAATTTGATAAAATTTAATAACAAATCAACAATTTCGAAGAATATATACAATAATTGACTAGATTAAATAACATAAACAACTCAATTAAGCACAAAATCAACCCAACAAGTCAACAATTAGTGTATAATACGAAATTAAAAACTTAAAAATCAATTAATTTACCTAGAGTCGAAAGGCAAGAAGGCTGTAGGATTGGAGTGCGGCTATGCCGTTGTCCGTGGGCGCTGGGAGGTGGCTGGAAGGTGCGGCGGCCGGTGGAGCGGTGGTTGGAAGGTGCGGCGGCAGGCGGCAGCGGTGTGGCGATTTCCGTGACTTTGAATTTGTCGAAGAGAGAGAAGAGTAGTGTTATTACGTTAATGTTGTTTTGTTTTTTTTCCCTTTTGATCTTCCTCCTTGTAGTTTTCTTTCTTTTCTCTGTAGTAGTGTAGTTTTATGTTTTTGAGGCAAAACCGATAAAAAAGAGAGAGAGAGAGAATATGGCAACGTTTAAGTAGGGAACAGCTATTTCCCTTACCTTAATTAAAAAGACCTTAATGTCCCTTACCAATAAAGTGAAACAAAAAATAAAATAAAAAAATGAGTAAGATTATAAGGAATTTATGTCATCTATCTACATACAAAAATTAAGTAGAAATAACTAAAAAAAGGAAGGAGGAAGGAATTCAAATACGTAGTACTTGGGTTTTTTTTTTTTATTATTATTTATATACTTCCTTGATCCTCAAGAAAGCGAGTACAACTTGCAAAAAGGATATAAAAATGACAAGCAAAACCTTAAACATTAGGAAAAACCAGCGGCCAAGGAAACGCCAAGTCACCTTTTTTATTATTTAACATTAAGATAACTGACGTCATCAAATATGTAATAATCTTTTACGGAGTAGCATGAGAACTTTATATTATTAATTTAATTTTTTGAAGATTTCTTAGTATTGAAATTTCTCCTGTTCACGTCCAAAACTACAAGGTAAAATTTTCCATCAATTCTTTGCAAAACCTCTCTTAAAACCCCTCAAATTCTGTAAAATTACAGCTTAGTAATAAAGCCATGTCATTTGGAACCGAAGATCAAGTTGAAAGGAAGAAAAGAAGGCTGAATGCAAGTATTGAAGTTTCGGAAACACTAGCAAAATGGAGGAGTGAAAAGGTGTTGAATGATTCAAGAAAGGCGGAGTTTGGAACAAAGAAGAATCAGAAGCCAAAGGGTTCGAGGAGGGGTTGTATGAAAGGAAAAGGCGGTCCAGAGAACTCAAGCTGCAGATACAGAGGTGTTAGGCAGAGGGTTTGGGGTAAATGGGTGGCCGAAATCCGCAAACCATGCTCTAGTGAGCTAGAAATCAGTGGTAATAAAGTAAAACGTTTATGGTTAGGAACCTTCTCAACTGCCATTGAAGCTGCTCAAGCTTATGATGAGGCTGCACGGGTTCTTTATGGTGCTTCAGCCACTCTCAATTTTCCTGACAGTGTATCAGTATCAACAAGTTCATCTGTTTGCGGATCATCATCAGAAAGAAATGTTAATTCTGTAGTAAGACATTACGTGGATTCACTGCCTGAATGTGATGATGACAGTGAGCCAAATTTCAAGGAGAGCCATAAAAAAAATATGGTTAAGGGCGCTATAAAGGAAGGGATTGATGATCTAGAAGGCAAAGTGATAAGTAACAGGAAGCCTTGCAGTATTGCTGATGTTGAGAGTGCAGTGCAGGAAGAACAAAATGAAGCAACAAGCGCTAGAGATTGGAAGGAAGGGTTAGTTAAATCAATGGAAATTGTGACTTTGGATCAATCGAGTCCTGATTGTGATCAGAGACCTTCAGAGAATCTCCCTTCACCAGACATGCTGTGTGGAAACTGGCGACAACAGGAAGCAGGTTCACTGGATTTGGATGATGCTACTGGTTTAATCAACTTCAATGAAGATTCAATTGATTTTGGTGATTTAACTAATTTAATCAACTTTGAAGAAGCTTTTTTCAATTTTGATGATTTTGCTGATCTATCAGATTTGATAGGGACACAGACACCCAAGAATTGTTGAAAGTCTCATTACTTACCTCTAAGCTAATCAGTAAGCATTACTGTTGGTTACTGTAATCAATTTAACTAGTTTCTTAAAAAATAGGTGCCATTCTAGCATAGTTGTAGTAGAATTTTCCTCACATTTTGGCTATTCTAGTCCAAATGAATTTTGTTAAGTCATTGAGGAAGGATGATGCAGGAAGGGATAGGAGGCAGATTACTAAGAATGTATAGCCATATAGGTATTTATATTGCACTATAATTTTATCATTGCATTTTACAACAACTCTTTTTTTTTTTGCTTCAGCTGTATGGTCACTGAGAATATGTTAAAAGTCATACATTCAGTAAACTGCAGATTACATCTAGGAAAACAGGAAAACAATGAGCAAAGCAAATAAGGGTATTATCAAGATGATACTTTTCAGTCAGTATTTACAAGTAATAGCAGAATAGCAATTATGTGCAGTTCCAGGTAGCAGTCAAAAGTTACAGATGTATGCACCTTAATAATTGTGAGTTGGAACTGTGTTACGCTGTTTAATCAATGGAAGCTCGAATATTGCCAACTCCAGCAACATAAACTGTGAAATCGCTGCAGCAAATCACATTGCCATGGCTTCATCTCTCAATCCCTCCAGAAGCCATGCTGCTGACGAATTCCAGAAGTATTTTCCAACAGGGCTTGAAAGTGCCAATATGAATTTGATTCTGACTTTATGCTGGCATGGGATCAAGGATCTGTCCAATAGCATTTTAGACTCTTAGTAGTCATCTGAGTCAAATCAACTAAGGTTAGCCACGAGGCAATCTATTGGACAAGTCTGAAGCACACCTGCAATTCTTCTAATCTGTTTCAGACCAAACACTGATCCATGGTCCGCTCCTAGTCCCCAACCTAGATTCATTATTAAATTTATTATAAAAAAAGGTAGGACAGTGAAAATATAAGCAAATTGGAAAGCAGTGAAAACCCTCTAGCTTTCAATAAGCAAGCATAAAAATCACACTCAAATTATACCAAAATTATTCAAGACAGGTCATGAATGATAGCATATGTTGCACATTTATTGTACAAGTAAACAGAAATTTCACCTCCAACATCCAGCAACTACACGCAAGCTCATGAACAGAAACAGCCCTGTCCAAACCCCAAGGAGACCATAACCAGGAGCAACAAGTAGCATAATAATTGATGAGATCACTGCAGCTACAACCTGCACCCAAAAAGATATGGAATTAAGCTACTAGCTGTATGGATTAAAGCTATCTGGTAAAAAATACTCATTCTCAAAACCTATTTAATTCTTTGGCAATAACTGTTACCATAGAGTAGGCAGCATACTCAAAGTCTGAAACCCCATAGTAGAGCCCATCAAGAACAAATGCAATTGCATTGACCGGCTGTGATCCAGCAACAAACTGCATCATAGTGTAAATATTATGTGGTATGCATATTTGATGTTACATCAGAAAAGGCTCATATTAATATATTATATTATCCGTATTTGGCAGATATCATAACAGCTAGGAAGAATAAGCTTCATATCATACAGCCACTAAGATCACATCATTAAAGGTATCTTAGAGAACTGAAAGCTCTTCCAATTAGCATGGCATAAATGCAGAAAACAGCAGAATATAAACTGCAAGCAAATAGAGCAGCAGAAATATGCAATACAGGGGATTCATGTACATTGGCATTATTCCACATAATGGTATAACCATATACGAAGTATATTATAAAATCCATTTATAGGCACATCTTCGGTGTTTAAACGGTTAATTATTTTGACATTGAAATTGCAATTAACCATAGTACTTAAAACCAAGTAGAGGATATAGCCAATATAGGTGCACATCCAGACACTAAAAGAATTCTAAACCGTCTAAATTTTCTTGAAGTGTTAAGTAGTTATTGATCCAACTATCCATTAATTGGACATTTCATACTAAAATGGATGACCAAAGTAACCTTGGTAAAATATTACAGTGAAATCACATAGTTTGTCCACAAGGCAGCAGAATGTGAAGAGGTATCAACAACTTCTATGTATCTCAATGCTGCAAATGACATACACATGATATAGCTTCTGAAAGTAAACACGTAAAGCTACGGACTGCAAAATCAACCAACTTAGAGTCTTAGACAATCTATATAGGGATTTAAACTACTTGATTTCGGTACCCAAATGTTAATCAGGTGCCACTCTTCCTACAGATAGATTCTGTCGATACGAATAGATTATTATAAATTGCAGTAGAGGAAACAGAAAGCATAAGCATCTATATTTAGAAGTTTCTTTCTTTATAAATAATATTGCCTTTTGGCTTCTCCTAAATTCTATACAGATTGATTCATATATGTCTGAATTGATCAACAGACTCTGTGCAGGTGTAGTAAAAGGACATACAAAGCAACTCAAGCTGCCGTAAATATTTAAAGATCATAATTCACCAGGCACAAAGGAATAGGCTGTGGATCCAAGAGCAATAAGTAGAGAACTAGTTCTAAAAGCCATGTTCTTACCAAGAAACCAGACCAGGCAACTTTCATAACTTCTGCATCTGAGGTAAATAAGTTTAGAAGCACTCCATAACCAAGGAATAACATGACAGCCAAACCCATTCCAACTATAAAGCCTATCTGCACATGATTTCAGTACAATTACTTTGTAAGTTTAAGGAATGAACAGGCAAGAGCTTATTAACAGAAACGTGGAGGGGAGGGGGAGGGGGAGGGGGGAGAGGGGTCGGAATAGTCAGGATAGTTCTAACCTGCAACACTCTATATACAACCAGGCGAGCCTGCACATAATTACCTTGGGAGTAATCGCCAGCTAGAAGAGCCTGTAAGAAAAAGAGGGCCAAAGATGAAATGTATGCTTCATTTAACAGAATAATATATAGAACTAAGATTTTAGCTCGATCCACATGGCCAAGTCCCCTACAATTAACACATATATTAAATATGAAAAACAGCATCCTTTCTGGAATCTGGGATATAATTATATTTTTCTTCAAAATATGAGGGATATTAGACAAGAAGAAAGGATACTCTAATTCCTGCACCATATACATCCCAATCGTGTGAAGTGAGTGATACTTACTGATTAGCTGAAAAAATTAGTGACTAGTGAAAATGAGATCTTTAGCAGGCTAGCAGCTTTGACTTTTTTCTTAAGTCATACACTTCAGCTCTTTTTCAAGTTAGATATGTAGTATCCATTGTGGACTTGTATAGTTGTATCGTTTTATATGCTGTAATGCATTAAACGATCACAGCCAACCTTATTTCTTATCAGATTCTCATAAATAGATCTTCATAGTTCATAGTTTCATACCATTCAAAAGTAATTGAAAATACCTATTAAAATAAAATTTGTTTTCAACTGTCTGTAAAAAGAGATAGTTTCCATAAGTGGGACCAACATAATACCATAAAAGAACTAGTTGTGACAACACCTAGTTACTTGAATGAACAAGCAGTGCCTCCAAATTTGTCTTCATCTAAATGTGTAAACACAGACGGCTCTATGCTGATCCCAGTCTGAATAGCCATTTAAAACTGCTTTTGACACAAACACCACCTGTTCCTCGCAGCGCAAGAAAGATTTTTTTTTTTTAAAAAAACAATAACCAGCTAACCTATATCTACATCACACACACACACACACAGAAACACACACGTGCGCGCGCGCGCACACACACACAAATAAAAATAAATAAATAAAAATATCAAAGGGTTATCCATGTGAAAATCACATAAGACAAAGTTTCAACAACTTCTACCTTAATTAGAACAAAATGAGCAAATGCCCATCTGAGAGCAACTTAAGAAAGGTCTGTGAAGAGTATGTTGAGAAGAATATGATCTTCATAAATTCTTCAATCACCGTACATGGAAAAGTAAGAGCCAAATCTGAGATCTTACATACCAACAAGTCATCATTTCCTAAGGCGAACATTGGAATAGATGCATAAAATCCAAAGATCAAACATCAAAAAACGTTATATTGGCAACAAGTGTAACACATCATATATACAATATCCATAGTAGGCTTTGTATCAGACATAGCACACAAAAAACAGCAGGGGATAGTCCTTCACTTCAAAAAAATTTCCTTGGTTTGGGGGTTTACCTGTCCAGCAAGTGCCAAAGCATCAGTCAACAATGATATCGTCAGCCAAATTTCTAAGCAAATTTGATAACCAGCTGTTGGTATGGGACCTTCCCTCGCAGCCAAAGATGTGGCTAATGTCATGGGCACAAGGACTGATAAGGTCCTTCCAATCAAGAGCCCTCCTGAAGATGCAACAGAAGAAAATTGAACTGAAGAGAGTTACAAACTTAAAGCTTGTGAGGCTACAATATAATCTCAAGTACATATGCATAATTTTACACTTTTCACTACCATAATACAAGCTTGATGGAAGGAAAACTACTGTGTAAATTAGAACAGCTTTAGTGTTAAACAACTCTGGGTCTCTGACAATTCCTAAATGGCTATGTCATCCCACTGCATCTACAAAACCACGATAAGTAATTAAAATTTATGATACTAGTCCAGCTCATTGATAAGGCAACAATCCAGGCCACTTGTCACCAACTAATGGGAATGTCACTCTATCAGGCTATCAGTTAGTCTTTCAAATTTCAAAGTAGATTAGAATAATGTACAAATGACCAGACTATTCAGTATAAAAATCCTATTAAGCATGATTTTAGATCAGCTTATGAAGGGCAGCTACATATTTTCAGCCCCATCATAGTGTTAAAATCATTTCATCTCTTGAACTTTGATGTTAGACCCACATATGTAAGAAATTGATTAAACCAAGACTTTACCAGCGGAAGCATACCTGATTTAAGATATTGGATAAATCTTCCACCATCAATACTTGGAGAAGTCAGAGATACGTCTGTATTCAACTTCCAGAGTAGGATGAAGGCTATCACATATCTGAGAGGAAGAGCAAAAGCTTCAGTAATCAGTACAATAATGTTCCGCAAAAAACCTGATGAAGGCATGTGGTATTCATTCATAAATCCAGAGTTGAAGTACTGTGTTACACATTTAACCTACTCAGAGATCACGGTGGCGGTTGCAGCACCACCAATACCAAAGCTAAAGAAAAATATCAAGATTGGATCTAGAATTGCATTGAGTACGTTTCCGACTCCTGCCAATAAAAACCATTTGTTAAAAATGAACAAAGAAAAAAAAAACATTAAAAAGTAAGACAAAACTTCCTTTAGAAAAGATTCAACATTTCAAACATAAGCACATTGTATGCATGAGAACTCCTTATAATGAGCTGCTATTGTTAGTTGGTCAATGGGCTACTTGCCTTCTAGATGACTTGATGATGAGAATGACACTCCTGTAATAAACTAATCTGAGGAGGGGCACTATGGGTAGTCTAGTATCTTTAGGTTAAGTATTTAGTTTTATTATAAATAGAGAAAGGGGGGAAAGGAGAAAGTAGGCAGAATTTGGGAGTGAATCCTTAAGAGAGTTGTGACCTCATTTCACTATAGAGCTTAATAGGCTAAACCTATCGATTGTGTAAACTGTCATTTTGTTAACCAAAGCCTCAATCTTTCTTCTCTAATTTACTGTTCTATTGCTTTTTCTCTGTTAATTGGTTGTGCTTGGCCGGAAGCTATCGTGTAAACCGTTGTTTTGTTAACCAAAGCCTCAATCTTTCTTCTCTATTATACTGTTCTATAGCTTTTTCTCTGTTAATTGGTTGAGCTTGGCCGGAATCTATCACACATCTTCTTAACCTACTCTGCATCAACACAACAACTTCAAGCAGCCCCTTCCTCGCCACAACACCAGCTCCAGACCATTAGCTATAGCTCTAACATATACTTAAAATGAAAAATTGATGGTGAAAATATAAGAGATGAATTATGTAAAATGACCAAATCATTTTTTTTTTCTTTTTTTATCAGAATATAACTATATCATCACTCATAAAGAAGAAACAGGAAGAGGACAAGGTTTCCTCTAGGGAAACACTTACAAAAGTATTTGAAATATTCGCAACTAAGCCCAATTCCTTTGTATCTAACCAACTTCAAAAATATAAAATATATACTTACAAGTTAGACGGTTTAAAATGATCAAAACAATGTTTCATCATTCAATCATCTACCATTTGTTGACCAAAAGATAGTGGAAGACAGATAAAGAGAGCACTAAGAATAAATATCATACTTCGTATTATTCACTGTTTGCAAGCCTTTAGCAAGATTGTATATTGTTCATATGAGTCACCTCAGACAGAGAAGTAAGAATAAATATATTACGAAGTACATTATTCATTGTTTGCAAGCCTTAAGCAAAATTATATATTGTTCTTATGAATCAACACTTTCTAAGGATTTAAGCACACTGCATGAAAAAGTAGGGATCATAACTGAGAATTTGAAAGAAAGAGCATGAATGATAATGACATGGTATCTTCAAAGAAGTGTTACGAAAGTACTTACCTATGGCATACAATGGTGTCTTTGTATCTTTAAGTCCTCGGAAAGTACCCTGTGCAGCAAGTGCAATGACAATAGGAGGAGCACCAAAAGCCCTCATCGTAAGGAATTCCTCTGCTGGCTGACGCATTGGTGAATCCTATGACACAACACATGTACTTGTTATTTACATATGATTTCAAATGTTGAAAGTAAAGAGAAGAAATTGAGGTGTATTAGACAGAAACATTATAATTATAATATATAAAGATCTGAAAGACATGAGCACATTGCAGTATGTATACGACTGCTTGAAATTGAATTTAGCAATTATGCCAACGAAGAACTTCCTTGTTAATCATGCAACTTCTTATCTATTTACACATTAATCATCTTAACACTACAAGAAGAGTGAATCAAATATTTAAAGCATGATGCAGCAATAATGCAAACCCTGTAAATGATGCTCTTGAAAATGAACACAAGTCCGAAATCTAACAGTCATCCATTTAAAAAAAAAAAACTAGCATCAACAAACAGGTTCCTCGATCAAATTGAAGCAATAGAAGAATAAAATATATAGCCAAGTCACACATACAACAGATATACCCATAATATTCATTAGAGTTCCCGATCCAGCTGAAAGCGCCACAGCTTCGGCAACACCAAGGCCAGCAGCAAGAACTAAAGATGAAGACACTGAAGGAAGGACTTTTTTCCTTTCTTCATAATCTGCAGTACACCAATGTCAGATAAAGACAGTGTGATTTAGCAGCCATAACAGCTCTATATAAACTGTAGGCTGTAAAACTTGAAGAATCATTACTTCAGTGAATACCTTGGCCAGCTTGAATAGATGTTTCATTCTGCATACTGACTAATGCCTGCTCTTCAGCAACAAAGGACGTTGTAACATTCAGCAACGGGACATTAAACAATTTTGATACCAAGTTAAACACTGATACTGACACCCCAACTGCTGCTAATTCAGTTGACCCTGTAAGTATGACAATAGAAATAGATGAATTTTCAATAAAAAAACACTTACACATACTACTCTAAGACTTCCTAAGCATGAACTTCAACTATACAAGAAAATTCCATAATACATTGCTCTCCCCAATTGCAAGAAACAACAATATTATCTCTTCACATACTTGTCCACAAGGATAATCTTAAAGCCTCGTACATTGGTGGTTCTGGCTTCTAAACATGTGTAGGATGGTCGATTGCACAGAGCTCCTTAGTGAAAGGGACCCCAAAATTTGATATTTACTTATATGAAATACAGAGAATAATCACTGATCAATGATCAAATCTTCAATTTTATCATAAAATTAATAATCAATAAAATATATTGTTAATTAAAATCATATTTATATCTTTATAAAAGTGATTTTAGGGCCAATTTTACAAATTGCATTGACCAAATTTCACTGTTAGCATTTGTAGCCCCAGCTGGCCAACTCTGGCCTTGTGCACTAGGTTGGTGAACTATGAATTTATGATAGTTGGTAATCTCTCACACGAGAGGGTAACATGAGACAAAATTATTGAGAGAAATTATAAGCACAAGTGCGCTACTAGACATCACTTTTAATATCATTTCTTGTAAATTTCCTCATCAATATGGATTCAAACAAAGAAACACACAACCAAATTACTCGAATTGCTAACTCCAATTGATTTAAATTAGTTAATTTCCGATGCCTCACAGTAGTTCGGAAGTTAATAGCATTGTGAAAAAAGAATATGCCTTCATTTTCCTTACAATTACAATTACCCTAGTGCCTTGAAGCAAGGCTCTACCTAGACCAGCCGACCCGCTGGGATCACATATGCAATTATTTGTACAAGACATTACAAAGAAAATGTTTTCCTCAATACCCTTCTATTAAGTTGCAAAAAAATGCCATTATACATACAAAATCATGAGCTAAATTCAAAACCAAAAAAAAAAAAAAGAAAAATACAAAAGGAAATGAAAATACCCAAATGACCAACAAAAGCAGTATCAACAAGAGAAGTGATGGGGTCAGCAGCTAAAGCCAAAAGAGTAGGCAATGCAATCGACAATATCTCCCGACCAAGATCATCCAATTTAACTGCATCTCTGCAATTTAACACACCCAGAAAAAATCAACCAAAAACACTAATAATTCATGTAATATCATCATAATTTTCCAAAAATTGAACAGTACCTGAACCGAAGAAGTGGAGGATATTGTAATTTAGAGGAAGAAGAAGATGAATTTGAAGGAGGAGGAGTTGAAGATTTGGGGTCTTTAGATTTGGGAAGAGCTCGAAAACGAAAAGGGGATTTAGGGTTTCGATTGGAAAAATTAGAATTGAAGAAAGGAATTGTGCGGGAGAATGGAGAAATTTGCAGGTGATTACTGAAATGGCGGGAGTACGAATGATTGTCGAAGAGATGATAAGAAAGAGAAGAAGCAACAGTAGCAGTATTAGCCATTTTTTATTTCTGGAAAACTTGAAGAAATGAAGAAGATTTTTTTAATGATTTTTAATTTTGAAGTAGTGGGAAGTTGGATGTTAGCAACTAATTTAACGGTGGATTTGGTTTTTTTTTTTTTTTTTTTTTATGCAAACAAGTGTAAGAGCACTCTTACTATTGGCATTTTTTTCCCCAAGAATTTTATGAAGAAAAAAAAAAAAAAGGAAAATTGTCCAAAATAATCTAAAATTTGTCTTGTTCTCTCAAAATAATCTCAACTTTAGATTACTTTTTAATACTCCGAATTTTGATGTGTATCTGACTATCTGCTACAAATGGAAGTTAACTTGTTAAAACAAGTTACTTGACACTTGTTGGCGTGTGATTGGACAAAAAATTAAAAAATTTATTAAAACTGTTTAAATTTTTTTATAAGAAAAATAAACAAAATTATTAATTAATTAAATGAAAAACCACCCCACCATTGTTTTAAAACAAAAAATAAAATAAAAAACCACCCCACCATCCTAACCACCCTCCCACTGCCCACTCCGCCAGCCCAACCCCCGCCTCCGGCCATGCCCAGATGCACCGGCTCCGCGCTGACCTCCCTCCCTTGAACACAAACCTTCTTCCTTGTCCCGACTCCCGATCCCAATCAAACCGAACCACCCACCCAGATTTGAGTAAGGGTGGTTTCGGTTCAGGTGGAGGTTAGGGTTTTGGGTGAGGGTGGTTTCGGTTGAGCTGGTGGCAAGTGAGGGAAGTTTCAGTTCAGGTTGTGGGCTTGTGGCGCCGTGGCGGGCGAGAGAGGAGAGAGAAGGATGTGAGGTTGGTGTTTCGGTTGTGGGCTTGTGGTTGGTGGTTGGTGGTTGTCGTGAGGTTTCGAGTTTGGTGGTTGTGGTGAGGTTGGTGTTTCGGGTCAGGTGGTTGTGGTGAGGTTGGTGTTTCGGGTCAGGTGGTTATGCTTAGGTTGGTGTTTCGGGTCAGATGGTTATGGTAGGGGTGGTAAGGTGGTGGAGGTGGCTGGGTTGGTGTTGGTGGTTGGGGATAATTTGTGTTTTTTTTTTTGAAAGTAGTTAGTTTTAAATTATTAGTTAACTAGATGAAGTTTTTTATACATAAAATATTAAAATCACACAAAAAAAAAATTGTAATTAGATCATACTCATAATATATTAATTTGCTATTGTTTATTAAGGATAATTTTTTATTAATTTTATGTAATTTATTCCCCATAATTAATATTTTGATAAAAACATTAAAAAAACTAACAAAAAATATTAGATACACATAAATATAGATAAGAATCATTATTAAAAAATAATAAAAACATGTATTTCATTATTTATCTTTTATTTCGATTGAATCACCAATTTCATTCACAACCATATCTACTCCATCTAATAAAAATGGATAAATTGTGAAGTGAAAAATTGTTGCGAAATTGATCTAAAAATTGTAATTGTACAAAATCAAATCTATGCATTGAAAGTTTTTTTAAGGAGTAAACTTTTCGTCCAATAAATTTTGGACGAAAGTGTTGAACAGAGTTGGCTTTAATCGAGGCATGAAAGTATAGTAATCACCCTGTAATTAAAAATTAAAAAATTAAGTTAATTGAATAACTTGATTAAGCTACCTCAATCACCAAAAATTTGTTTTAATCATAAAATTAATTAATAAAAACTAAAAAGGTAAATTTAATAAATGTAAACAATTTATAAAGATATAATACCTCATCGTTCAATAGGACCATATCCAAACTTATTAAGCTATCTTGTTTGCGAAAGGTAAGTATGTCAAACAAGCGAGCGAGAAACTCGTATTTTGATTTTTCAATCATATTTGCTCGAATTTAATTCTCTAATTAAATTAGATCTGCATAAACAAAATTCAGTAAATAAAACATAAATATATATAATCGTTAACTATCCCAAATAAACACAATGTAATAGTAAAATATAAATTTAAACATGGATTTTAAAAGTTAAGCTAAGAATTACCCGGCCATTGATGATCTAAAACTGACACAAATTTACTAACACAAAATTAAGCTAACTTTTGGTTTTGTATTTTGACACAAAGTTTTGTTGGTGTCATATGATGCGTCAATTTATAATGGTATGTATCACAAATTTTAATTTCATTATAATTAAGGAATAAATTTTACTTTATTATTATAAACACTATCAAAATTTATCTTATAATGATAGATATCAAACTTTACTGTAGTCGTTTATCATTTAAATCTAATATTATTTCTGATATGATTTTAATTAATAATAAATATCTTTTTTGAGCTTTATCTTTTAATATTTTTTTTTTGGATTTGTTATACTGTAGTAATGATTTAATAATTTCTCTTTTTTTTCTACATTTTCTTACCATTAATTTATAAAATAACTTTGTTCTTGATCTTAATCTACGTGGCACTGAAATTTTAGATGTATCAAATCTAATTCGTTACTTTTACCTAGGTGGCGATATAATTTTTTAATTCAAAAATAAAATATAAATCCCTTTTATCATTGGTCGAAATAATTAGATTACTTATGTGGCGCTCCGAATGCTCTTGGAAGCCCGTGCGATGCACGGTTTTTTCAATCTAAGATTTTTAATTATTTGATTTATTGAATTTAATAATTTCAGACAAAATTACAAAAGGTTAATATTTATTTTTTTTACTATAATTTATAATGAATTTATTAAATATAAATAAATTGTAAATATGATATTTTTTTTCCGTTATATAAAATCTTTAATGTGAAATGGTAAATTTTTAATAATTTAAATTCTAAATCATTATTCATTGTTTTACTATATCTTTTATTTCGATAGAATCACCAACCTCGTCCACAACCATCCTACTACATCAATGGATAAATTGAACCGTGAAATGTTAGCCAAACTGAAATTGATATAAATTAAATCTTTACATTTATATTAAATAAATCAATATATTTACCAATAAATGAAAAATTGTTGCGATATAAAATCAAATCTATGCATTGAAATTTTTTTATCATCTCCAAAAATAACCAAAGCCATCCATATATTAAGTGTACAACATCTAATCGTATGCCATTACATAAACAAATAATCGTTAAGTATCCTAAATAAATACAATGTAACTAATAATTACAAATATAAATTTAAACATAAGATTTTAATAATTACCCGGACATTGATGACCTAAAACTAACACAAAATTACTGACACAGAATTTGCTTGATAGGGTTTTGTATTGATACGAAATTTTATTTGTGTCGTATGATGTGTTAGATCTGCATGTAAAAAAAATTAAACATATAATCGTTGAGTATCCCAAATTAATACAATGTAAGTAATAATTAGAAATACTAATTTAAACATAAGATTTAAACATTAAGCTAAAAATTACCCGGCCATTGATGACCAAAAATTAACACAAAATTAGTAACACAAAATTCACTTGATGGGGTTTTTTTAATGATACGAAATTTTGTTTGTGTCGTATGATGTGTCAATTTATAATGGTAGGAATCAAAAATTTTAATTTAATTATAATTAACGAACAATTTGTATTTATTATCATAAATACCATCAAAATTTATCTTATAATTAGGTATCAAACTTTATTATTATAAGCGTTTATCATTTTAAAAAAAATTTAGTATATTTTTTTTGGATTTCTTATACTCGTAGTATTGAATTAATAAATTTATCTTTTCCTATATTTTTACTTTATTTTTTTTTTCATTAAAAATAATTTAATTCGTGGATTATAATCTACGTGGCATTAAAATTTTAGATATATCAAATTTAATTCGTTACTTTTATCTAGGAGGCGACATAATTTTTTAATTCAAAAATAAAATACAAATCTTTCTTCTTATTGGTCGAAATAAGTATATTTCTTACGTGGCGCTCCGAATACTCTCCAAAAATGCCTACTTTATTTATATATATATTAGATTAGTAACTAATAAATATTTCTTAAGAAAAAATAAACTAAAACTGAAATAATGAGGTGACACATGTAAATTAAACTTTTTTTTAAAAAAAATTACCTTCTTAACAAGTTGTCGGTCACGTGGAACCATTTAGCGGATACACATCAAAGTTCGGATTATTAAAAAATAATTGAAAGTTGGGATTATTTTGAGTTAATGAGGCAAAGTTCGGATTATTTTGGGCAATTTTTCCAAAAAAAAATGGAATTTTGGCTTTTCACTCATGAGCATTAAAAAAAATGATTATGAGGAAATTCTCAAATGCCCATAGCAATGGCAAAAATTAATTGCTACAGTAGCGTGGGCCATGGAACCAAATCAACAAATAAAAAAGAAAAAGTTGCATATATTAAAAAATAATGTGATGATGGTAATGTTTAGGAGAGAGTGTGGTGTGGGGTTAGGAGTGTGTAAGAAGTTGTAAAAAAAATGTCCATGAGAAAAAGTGGAAAAGAGGAGTGAGAAAATGGATAGAGAGAGAATGACAATTTTTTTATTTGCCCATGAGAAATAGTGGTCTAAGAACCCAAAACAAAACAAATAAAGTTACATAACCAAACGTGGCAAGGCCACTCCCACCATATCCTCCCAAAGAAGGTTCTTTTTTTCGATTAAAGGATCATCGAAATAAACCACCTTCTCTTGGAGAATAACACCCAAATTTGTACTCCCCTTTGGGTTTTAATTTCTTGGTCGGGAATACTTTAATTTCTTTGAAAATTTATTATCTTTAACCCTTTTTCTTTGATCCAATTTAGTGTTTAATGTGAGAGTGAGGGATATTTCATGTGGTTAGAGCTTCTCTCCCGATTTCAAGAGATCCTGGGATCGATTCTCACCACGTCCTTGTGGCTCTCTAAACACAAAAAAAGTTTAATGTTTACTGTAGTTCTCTCCCTCTATGAGAGTCTTCTTCCTAAATTTCCGGGTTTATTTTTTTTTTATTCTCATAGATGAGATTTTTATTTTTAGGGTTTTAATTATTGGGAACGTGTTCTGGATTCACATGGGTTTGGGTCTTGTCATCAATTCTATAATCAAAACATTAGCGTGGAATGAGATAGTCTTTAATTGGAAAGATGCAAACAATATCGAAAATCACCATTTGCATCAAACTTGAAGCGGTGGAGTATGAATTGTATCGAAAATGCAAAGATTTACGATTTTAATTGTAAATGTTGTGATATTTCCAATAAATTTTTTATTTTAGATCTATATTACAATTGTAGAATTCGTATGGCTAATTATTAACGAAATTATTATTCTCGTAAAAAAAATGATTTATATTATTTATTTATTTTTTTTAAAAAAAAAAAAGAGGTCAATGTTATTATATAAACACAAGGTAGAATATACTCATAAGAGTACTTGCTAGAATTGCCTAAATCAGCTCCATCTTTAGTTTGTGGATAACAAATATTTTATAAATTTTATTTATTGATAATCAAAATTAGGAAAAATTTATAACCTTGGCTTTGGCCAATTTTCTTTGAATATTTCTAATTTTAAGGGTATTTACTTTTATTAGGCCTAGATGACCGGTGATCTGAAAAATGGGTTAAAGTTTT